TGAAGGCAACTTCTGTCCTGATAGAGACAAATGTTCCCTGCAAAGCTCTTTATGTCAGGTGTGCAACATTCACAAAGAGTCGCCAATCGGAGTGGTGCGCTGGAAAATCCTGCGGTGGTGTCCGAGGAGCTGAGTTTGGAGCAGATCTCGTGAGCCAGGTCCAGATTCAGATTCAGAGTGGCGAGGTTCAGGAGTCAAGGCACACCGTTTGGGTTGTGGTTCACGAACACCTTTGTGTTTGCCACTCCATTCCAATAGAAACAGTCCTTGGTGTCGCTCGTGTAGCGGGGCGTGACTCCTTCCGGGCACGGAGTTCCACAGCGTGTCTTTGCTCTCCTCATTTTCCTTGTCTTCTCCCTCTTCCCAGGTGGGGTTGCTAACCAGGTCCCTAAAGAGAACAGCAGGAGCAACGCGGCGATGCAGGAGATGACAGGCGCCAAGAGGACGTATGACATGATGGAAGGGAGAACATCCAGGCTGATATCCTCTGCTAATATAGAAGGTGGGGTTTGATAAAGCAGCTCGGAAGCAATCATACAGGTAGTCCTTGAGTTATGACCATCAATGCACGGAGCCCAGAATTTCCACTGCTAAGCAAGGCCCTTGTTAAGTCAAGCTGCGCCCCGTATTACTACTTTTGTACAACAAATCCTCTGGATTTAAATCAACGATTCCTTTATTAGGAGCGCCAGCAGCCCTGGCAAAACGTTTGTCTCTCACCACAGGCAAACGAGTCCAGCAGTGGTGGCTCTTCTGTCCCAAGAACCGGCCCATAGATTTCCCCTGCTCTCCTCTCCTCTGCCTTCTGTGCATCTGCGCATCTGCGCATCAGGCACTGGATCCAGATCTTCCTCCTCTTCCTTATCAGCCACCTCCAGAAGGGGCTGTTGACTCTCCATCTGAGGACCGATTGGCAGCCCAGGCTCTGCCTCTGTCTCTCTCTCGCTGCCAGCTCCATTCCCTCTTCTCCCTCGGAGCTCTCATGTTGCCCTGATGCCGACCCGGATTCCCACGCCTCATCTGATTTGGGCGACAGGCCACAACAACTCTCTGCTAGAGTTGTTAAGCGAATCACCACAATAGTTATGTGAACCGTAACAGTCGTTAAAACGGACGTGACTTCCCCATTGACTTTGGTTGTCAGAAGCGAGCTGGGAAGGTTGCACATTCATGATCACATGACCTCGGCACATGCAACGGTCATAAATACATGCCAGTTCCCAAATGCCTGAATTTTGATCACATGACCACGGGAAAACCAGCAATAAGTCATTTTTATTTCAGTGCCACTGTGGTGTCGAATGGTCACTAAGTGAATGGTTGTAAGTTAAAGACTAGGTGTATTGATAAAAATATTTAATTATTTCCCAGAACGTTGCCTCTACAGGTGTTGTGACCAAGACTTCCCAAGACCGTAATTAAGCACACGCTTAGTCCAAACAACTCTTGTTTTATTTCAACGCTGGGAATTATGTTCATTCACGGCCCACAATGAGTCCCAAACAGTTCCTCGAGATAAGCACCCACCTTTCTCTCCTTTGAACTGCTGCCAACAACTAGTGCCAATTGAACTGAAAAAAAACCAACCGAAGTACAAAGTCCACACAGAGATTCAAGGATTAATCCGAACAGAATGAACGACTTTGCTTCCTGCAAAGCTTTCTCTACCTTTGCCTGTCCTTTATACCTTAGGGGAGGGACAATCACCTCTAAGCCTTACTCCCAAGTAGCCCCTTTTGTTTCAGCTGCTCTTGCCCTCTGGCAGCTCTGTGCACACGCGCACTGGAAACAGGCTCCCCTTGTTCCTCTGCCTCGCTGCTGCCAGACTCCAGAGGCTCCGGAGTCAGCACCCCACTCCCAGATGGCCCTGGACCCATCTCTGCATCGGACACAGGACCCTCGTCTGAGTCCTCCCCAGATTCCTGGACTGGTCCCTGTTCTTCCCCACTGTCCGATTCCGCTGCCGCCTGCACAGGATGCCGGCGAAGCGCAGCAACGGGGTAGAAACAGGGAGAATGTAGAAATTTCCCTGGGAAATTTTATTTTCTAGTGTGTAAACAACCTCGGTCCTCGGTCATTCCTTTTTAACTAGAAGGGGAATTTTAAAAAAAGTTTCAAAATACGCACAGTTCTTCGAGGTGGTGGAATTTGGAGATCTTGTTTGCAGCAAAGAAAAAGAAAAACCCAAAATAGATCCTTCAATCTTTTTCTTCGGTCTGCTTATCAGGGCATTCAAAACCTGAGACTGATCCATCTTGGTGTATGAAAGATTTACATGCTTGGAAATGTCACGGTTTTAATTGTTATTTTCTTGGTGTGTGGGGGATCATTTTAGGTTTAATGGGACGAGCCATTCCCTCCGAGAGGCACAGTCCGCTCAACTTAAAGGATCCACATCATATCCGAGGTTCCATCACACAAGGTAATCATGCAAAAAAGATAGGAGAACTTTCTGGGTGTCCATTGTGTGTGTGTGTGTCCCCCCCCCCCCCCCCCCAGCTTAACGTTGGAAGAAACAAGGTGGAAATTTGTCTCACTTTGCAGGGGGTCTCCAAACATAGCAACTTTAAGACTTGTGGACTTTAACTCCCAGAGTTCCCCAGCTAGCATAAATCCTAGTCCCGCCTTGGGCATGAAAGCAGGCTGGGTGGCCAATTACCAGGAGGCGGTGAGTTCTAGTTCTGGCTGGGGAACTCCGGGAGTTGAAGCCCACAAGTCTTGAAGTTGCCAAGGTTGGACGTCCCTGGTCTTAAGGTAAGGTTTTTGTCATGACCTGGAGTGTAACACAAATGTAACAAAATCCAAAAAGGTAAATAAATGTCCTTTAATGCCTCCAACTTGGCCCCACTGTTCAATAATTCTCAGTTTTGAGATAAAATTCATTCAAAAATAGTCTTCAAAAGAAAGCAAGACAGTCCCAACTTAATGAGCAGATAGAAGTGAAATAAAAAACTAAAACAAACTACAATGAAGGAATGTCCACAACAGACCAGGATAAGTAATTACCAACTTCAAGGAGATACCAAGGCACAGTCTGTTGGAAGGACACCAACCAAGATAACTTCAGCCGAAAATAAAACACACTTTGCTTCTGCAATGTTGTGTTTTAACTGTCTCTCATATATTATTGTCCCCAGCTGCAACCAATGAGGGGGATCATGGCCGCTTCCTCTCTCGTAAGCCAAGTTGTTTCCTTCTCCATTGCTCCCTGTGTGTCCTAGGATGAAGAGGGGATGGGCCTGGGTCTTCCTCTGACTGCCCAGCCAGCCTTTGCCCTTCCCCAGCCTTCTCCACAACCTCCGGAGCCTCCTCCACTCCCTGTTGGCTGTTCCTCCTCTCCCTCAGAGTCCAACTCTAACAAGGACATGACACTTTTTTAAAAATTCCAGCTGGGAAATTCTGGGAGTTTATTAAAGAAATCATACTGACACATCTGGGAAAACCCGAATCTGAGAGTCCCGGGTTTTCCCTTCCCAATTGAAATTTCAAAATCCATCCCCTGCACCCACCAGTCCATTGCATGGCCCAATCAACCATTGTCCCAACTGGAGACATTCCTCTAGCCCTGTGATGGCAAAACTATGGCATGCGTGCCACAGATGGTACACAGCCATTTGTGCGGGCACATGAGTCCCAGCCAAACTTACCTGCACTGCGCATGCGTGCGCCTCCCAGCTGATTTTCATCCTGTTTGAGGGCTTTTTCGGCCTCCCAGAGTCTCGAGGGAAGCCTCTGCAGCCTTTGGAGGCCGAAAAACGGGCCTGTTTCCCCACTTCTTGTATTTCCGGAAATACTGGAGGTGACGGAACGGGCCCATTTTTCGGCTTCCAAAGGCTGCAGAGGCTTCCCTCGAGCCTCTGGGAGGTTGAAAAAGCCCTTAAATAGACCGGAAATCAGCTGGGAGGCGCGCAGTCTAGTTAAGAGGGGGAGATTGTGCATGCAGGCGCAGGAGGTGTGTGGGGGCTGCGCGCATTGCCTTCTGGGTGCTGGAACGCGAGCACGCATAAAATTTTTAGCACAGGAGCCCAAAAAGGTTAGCCACCACTGCTCTAGCCAGTCCTTTTCAGGTGCAGGGTAACTTGTCCTTGACTTTAAGAGAAGAATGTTGTTATGTCTAATCTTCCGCCTCTCCATGAAATCCCAACTTCCCAGGCACTAAGATGTGGCAGCTTGGAAGCTTCTGAGTAAAATATGGCTTCCAAAGCTGACAGCCGAATTTGGAGGCCCCTGATTCTAAAGTAAAGGAGGAGAAAGATGTGACACAGGCCCTCTCTGTGTGTTTTTCCTTTAGGAATTCCTAGGTCCTACGTAGAATCTCCAGAGGACTATCCCCGAAGGGAAGCAAAGCAACCCAAGAGGGAGAACACACCACCAAGGGATTTAACAGACGCCTATAAGGTCAGGAGCCACGAGTCCCTCACTCCGTTGAAGCTGAAAGCGGTCCACGAAGGGCTGGTCACCACGGTGAAGGAAGCCGGGCGATCGATTCATGAGATTCCGAAGGAGGATCTTTGTCGCGCTCCCGATCTCTCTCTGATGGCCCGGCCCATTAAGGAAGGATCGATTACCCAGGTATCTCCCAAGGCTTGAAATAAATCAGATTTTTATGATAGTCCTAAAACGAGCATATAGTTAGTCCTTTGACTGAACACACCATTCGTTTTAGTACAGCAGTCGGCAACCCGCGGCTCTGGAGCTGCATGTGACTCTTTCATCCCTCTGCTGCCAGTCGGCGCCACAATTTTGAGAGGAGCTTTCGGTTTGGGTGGGAAAGCCCACCATGCCAGGAGGAGAAACTATGGCAAGGAGCGGGTTTTCCAGTTGGCTCCACAATTGATAGGACTTTGGGTTAGGATAGGTAGAGGAGACTGTGGTGGTGGAACCGGACTTCTGATCAGCTTCAGAATTGAACAGTAGCTCTTTGAGTGTTTAAGATTGCCGACCCCTGGTTTAGTGACTCTTCGAAATTACTCGGCATTGAAAAAAGTGGGCTTGCAGCTGGTCCCCAACTTAACAACGCTCGCAATATCATTACATTTCAGTTTCCAACCATCATATCAATGGGCAAAGCTAGATTTGTTTAATGACCTTATGATTCACTTTACAAATGCAGTAATTCGCTTAGCTACTGTATAGGTGTGTGTGAGGGGGAAGGCTTGTAAACTCAGGCACGACCTTGCTTAGCAATTGTAGTCGCAAGTTGAGGACTGTTCATATTTGAAATAAAAGAATTGCATGGTTTAAAAAAAAGAGGAAATATTGTTGGGTGTCGGGATGCTTTAAGCCAGAGGTCTCCAACCTTGGCAACTTGGCTGGGGAATTCTGGGAGTTGAAGTCCACCAGGCTTAAAGTTGCTAAGGTTGGAGACCCCCTACCTTAAGCTAATCAAAAATGAGTCGATAAGTGTTCTCTTTTCATTTCATTTAAAACAAAAAACTGTAGAGGTTCACAGTCATCCAGGTGATGGTTGTCCCAAAGGTGCTTTTTTCAAGAGACAACTGGACTTTCTTCTTGTTGTTTTTTCTTTTGAAGACATTTCACTTCTCATCCAAGAAGCTTCTTCAGCTCTGACTGGATGTTGGGGAACGGAAGAATTTATACTCCTTGCATGGTCATTTGCATTCTTTGAGAGAGTGGTTGAGGCCACCTGGAGGTTTATTTGTGTCCTGTGTCCAAAAATTGCAGACTACAGGAACCATTGGCATCACTCAGGTGACCCCGAGGACACAGATAAACCTCCAAGTGGCCTCAGTGACCCTCTAAAAGGATGCAAATGACCAGCTGTCTGCAAGGAATATAAATCCTTCCATGCCCCACCATCCAGTCAGAGCTGAAGAAGCTTCTTGGATGAGAAGCAAAATGTCTTCAAAATGAAAAACAAGAAAGGCCAATTGCCTCCTGAAAAAGCACCTTTGGGCTGAAAAAAACCCCTCCAAGTTGGCCATTTCTTGGTGAGCTGGTATCCGGATTACCCAACACAATTGATGGGGGCACATTCCTTCTTTCAATTAACCCCAGCTTGACCCAAGGGCTATTTAACCACAAACGGCATTCAAGTCGTGTAAACAGATGGTTTCTAAACCTCTCCTTGGAGACTGGAGACCTGCCACGGTTAGTTTGCGTGGGGCAAAGAATTACGGCTTGGCGTTGCACCAAACCGGGCACCGGCCTGTTCCAAAAGTGCCAGATGTGATCTATCGCCTTTGATGGATTTGAATTGCAGGCCCTCTCCTGGGCTGCTTCGGCCTTGAAGCTCTGAGTCTGTTTGCAAGCAAATAAGTTCTCCCTAGTTCCAGATTTTCAAAACAATGCTTGGACCAGGTCCATTCTTGTAGACTGGAAAAATTTGGGGAGGGGGGGGGCGGTTGTTTCCATAGCAACAGGATAGGGGGGATTCCCAGGCTGTGGGGGTAACAGATGGTTGGATTCATGCAGCAGTTTGCTTTCGGATTCTGTCTTGGATAATACAGAAAGAAAGTTCCATACGAGCAGAGAAGATCAACAGAGATGATGAGGGGACTGGAGGCTATAAAACATAAAGAATGGTGGCATTACATCAGCTTTTTTAGAAGCTTACCTGTTGTTGTTTTTTTCAACAGAAAATAAATGCTGGAGCACATTTTGATTTTCTCTCTAACAACAAGATAAATATGGCGTACATTTTTAATGCCTAAACTTCAACCGGTTGGGCCTGTCCGCCTTCCACTTCTAGATTGCAACCCTTTGGGTTTGCACAAACCCTACCTTTAGAATCCAGGCTAGAGTTTGACTGCTGGTGTACGTGAGGCTTTGGGATTGCTTGTTGAGTCGGGTCAGGTTGGGTTTAGTTTGTTGTGGGAGCAGAACAGACGAGAATTGGCCTTCGTCAGGGGATGGGACCTCACAACCAAGCACAACTGTGTTTTGAAGACATATTTGAAGGCCTGGTTTGAGGGTCTGTCCTATCCAAGGGAACAACGCTGGCTCTGTGCCTAAGACGCTGAGCTTGTCGATCAGAAAGGTCGGAAGTTCGGCGGTTCGAATCCCTAGCGCCGCGTGGCGGAGTGAGCTCCCGTTCCTTGTCCCAGCTTCTGCCAACCTAGCAGTTTCGAAAGCACATTAAAAAATGCAGGTAGAAAAATAGGGACCCCTTTGGTGGGAAGGGAACAGCGTTCCGTGCAACTTCGGTGTTTAGTCCTGCCAGCCACATGACCACGGAGACGTCTTTGGACAGCGCTGGCTCTTCGGCTTTGTAACAGAGATAAGCACCGCCCCCTAGAGCTGGAAACGACTAGCACGGATGTGCTATTACCTATCCATTCATTCCAAACCAAGGGTGTTGATTTAAATCCTAGGCCAAAGCGAAGCTGAGCTTTCTTAGGTGGTCTTGAACCCAGAAGATGCCTCAAAATACGAGTTTCCCTTGTTGGGGAGAACCTCTTAGAAGCTGGAAGTTCCTGGACTATCATGTCCAAAAGAAGTTCTTGTTTGATGGTGTTCTTCTAGCCCATCAAACGGAGAGAGTGAATTAAAACAAACCAATCCATGAAATGTGGCATCTGTCAGCATTCCAGAAAATCTCCACTCTAGCAAATAACGCTGAGACGGACATTAATCTCCAAAGTTCCTTTTATTAGAGTAGTAAACTGGCACCATCTGGCAAATCCCAAATCTGAACGTTCCGTGTTTCCTTGCAATAAGTAAAAAAAATTACAAATCCACCCTCTTCACCCAACATCGCATCACATGCCCCAATCTTCATCCGTCCCAACTTGAGACGTCCTCTCACCCAGGTGCAGAAATAACATGACCTTGACTTAGAAAAAGGATTGCTATTATGTCTAACCACATACGCTCCATGAAATTCCCCCCTCCCAGGCTCAAGAATGTGGCAGCGTGGAAGCATCTGGCGCTAATACGGCTTCCAAAGCTGACAGCATCTTGACCTGAGCATGGTCCTGTCCTTCACTTGCTTACTGATCCTTCTTTTTTTTTGTCTCTCGCTTCCAGGGTACTCCACTGAAATACGACACAAACACATCCACGAATGCCAAAAAGCACGATGTCCGGTCTATTATTGGCAGCCCGGGCAGGAATTTTCATCCCATGCTCCCCATGGAGGCCATGCAGGACCCAAGGACGCTGGAAAGAGCGTACGAGGACAATTTGAAAAGCAGCAGGCCCAGCCCTGTGACGAACTCTGGCGGCTCCATCACGCGGGGAGCGCCCATGATTATGCCTGAGCCAGGGAAGCCTCGCCATAGCCCCCTTGCATACGAAGACCACCAAGCGGCCCACGGGGCAGCTTTTGGAGGACACCTGCATCGAGGGTCCCCCGTCTCCACGAGAGAGGCTGCACCCAAGCAAATGGAAGGTCAGCCGCCTTGCTTGTTTTGGGGGACATGTGTAGGAGCTCCGTGCCACCAGGTTCTAGAACTCAAATAGAAATAGATAGTCCAATAGAATTCTTGATTGGCCAAGTGTGGTTGGACACACAAGGAATTTGTCTTGGTGCAAATGCTCTCAGTGTACATAAAAGAAAAGATAAATTCATCAAGAGTCAAGAATCATCAGGTACAATGGAAAATAGAATAGAGAATAGCAATAGAGAATAGAATAGAATAGAAAATATAGAATGGAATTAGAATAGAATAGAGAATAGGATAGAGAATAGAATAGGGAATGGGAGTAGAGTAGAATAGAATAGAATAGAATAGAATAGAATAGAATAGAATA